TATGGACCTTTTCAAACAGTAAAGTGGTAATTAACGCTAAAAATGGTAATTTTTTCCAAATATAGATTTTATCATAACATTTTTATATGATATTATAAATATCATTATTTACTATCGACTAATTCAAAATAAAAAAGTAATCGCTATTCCCCTTTCAATACTCAAGCGTGTTTTACTTTAGAAATACTTTGTCTTATTTGTTACTTAATAAATTTGTCAATTCAAATATAAACAATGAAGGCATGTTTGACACGTGAGACGTCAAAACCCACGTTGCGACCAGATTAATCGTATCCAAAGTTTGAATATTCTTTTCAATGAATAAAATAAAATAAGATTTAATTGAAAATTCAGTTAAAATCTGCTTGAAAACTAAGAATAGATCGTATAAAATGACTTTTTATAGTAATGTGAAGCAAAAATCGTACGTTTTAAATCCACGGGGCAAACCGTTGTACGAAGGTAAGCTCAATAAAATAATGATGGTCAGAAAATACATACAATTTATGTGAATATAATTCTAGATGCGAATCGATTTGGGACAAAGATGTTGGAGAAAATGGGATGGTCCAAGGGTAAAGGGCTTGGAATGAAGGAAGATGGCGAACAGAATTTTATCCGAGTTTCGCATAAAACCGATCAAAAAGGAATGGGATATCAAGACCGCGACGATCAATGGACAGGTCATGAGAATGCCTTCAATTCGCTGCTCAAATCATTTGATAAATCAGAAAATGTATCTGAAAATGAAAGTGAAAACGAAGGCGATGTGCGAACGGGATTTGGTTTTGCATCTGGAGAAAAGAATGGTAAAAAGTCCAAATCGATTAAATCAACGATTAGCGGAAAATCATTAGAGGAAATGTCAAAAAAATCCAGCGTTCGAGTTCACTACAGAAAATTTACGCGCGGCAAAGATGTGTCGAAGTACAGTGAAAAAGATTTGGCCAATATTTTCGGGAAGAAAAGCACGGAAGATGGCGAAACATTAGAAGTTGCATCAAAGGATCCTGAACCGGATACGATTGATACAAATTTTGGAATAACAACGATTGAAACAAACACTACCATTCAAGACTATTTTCAGAAGAAGAAAATGGATTCATTGAAGCGCACCCAGGAAAATACAGGCGAATCAAAAGATGAAGTTGAGCCATCGGTTGAATTGCCAACAAAAAAGCGCCGAAAAAAAGATCAAGAAATGAAAGACACAGTTGTATCGGATGAAATAGACCCAAAAAATGAAGAACAATCGTCGGAAGGTAGGAATGAGAAAAAGAAGAAGAAGAAACCGAAAAATGAAGAGGCGTCAATCGTCGTATCGGATGAAAACAGTGAATGTGAAATTGTGTCCGTTAAAATGAAGAAGAAGAAAAAGAAGAAAAGTAAAAAGTGTTCAGAAAGTCAAACTGAAAATGTTGAAACCAACGAAGAAGAGAGTAATATTGCCAATAATGACACTGTTTGCACTGCCAATGATCAGGCAACGGAAAATGTATCGAAAAAGAAGAAAAAGGAAAGAAAAAATTCAACATCGACATCAAATTTTGAACTAGAAAAAAGTGATGAAGTTTCAGAATCAGAAAACACTCAATTTATGAGCGGTATTTTAAACATTTTGGCTAATAGCTCGGAGCGACCATCAACCTCATTGAATCAATCCAAGTCAGCTGACAACCGAAATGGTGAAATATCAAGCAAAACAACTCAAAAAATCGATATGGATGACATATTCGAAATAAATCGATATCACGCCGAAATGTTTCGATTCGTTGATTTGGATGGATTTCCAAATGCGAATCTCAGCGACTTGAGTGGTTATGGGTACAGTAAAGAATTTGAATTGAAAGTAACCGAAAAATCAAAAGATCAGGGTAAAATTAGCGATTTGTGGGATTATGCTCTCATTAATAAGTACGGAAAGGAAGCAGTTCAAGCAACAAAAGCTAAACGATATTCGGTGAAACAGCTTAAGAAAAAGAATTTGTTCATGAAATTATGATTTTTTTCAATTGTATAGAAATTCCAAAATAACTTTTAATAAATACACACAAAAAATTATGTAATTTAATTCGGTTTTGATTTTGCTTCAAAAAGACTTCTTTTTTTGGGACAGAGTTGGTATTGGAGAACTTGAATACAAAAAGAGCCGTACTTACATGAAGAGTATCCGCACTTCCACTGTGCCTATAATAGCTCTGTTTGATGATATGTTAACAACTTTACACACGACACAAATTAAATTGTTGCATATAATTCTACTTTAACCAAACGAATGTCCGGCCATTTGATCCTTTCTTTGTCACTTGTAATAAGTCCTTATTTGTCTTCAGTATCTAGGCCTATCGAATATTAAAAAAACTGACTTTTGAAGAAAACTCGTATACAACCTTTAGTAAAGCTGCTTGGATAATAGACTTATTAAAACAAAACGATACGAAAGACATCGTGCATGCAAGTGCGTTGTATGTTCGGTTCGTAAAACTCCAATTATTTTACTATTGAAATAAAGAGAATTTATTTTTTATTCAATATATTTGTGTGAACATGAGAATATGCGTTTTTTGCGCTTTTACATAAAGTTAGAGTTCTGTAGTGGGGTATTTCTTTTCTTCTTAAATTGATGAATAATAGTAATAGATTTTAATGGATTTTTTGAAAGATTTCCGTCTTCTTTTTGCGTTGTTCTAATCACTGTCGATTAGGATGAGGTCATCATCTTCTTGTTCAATGCGCGGGCGCTTGAGATTTTTGGAGGAAGTGCTTGGGCCGGCTACATCTTCTTCCATTTTTTCATCTTCAACAAAGCACACGTCATCGTCGTCGTCATCAATAACAGTTGATGTGGCCGGTTGACTGATTTCCCGTGAACTTTGACCGCCGAATGACGACGATCCAGCCGATGATGTTGTTGGCGGCGGATTCTTGTTGTTTTCACCATCTTCGATAATACATAAGTCATCATCGCTATCTTCCTGCGGTTCCTGGCGGCGTTTTTTCGCTTTTGGTTCACCATTGTCTTCTGGGACTTCTTCTTTTTCCTCAGTTTGGTTTTCTGGTATTAAAGAGTCGGGATCGGCAACAATTTCGAACAATTCGCCTTCACGCTCTACATCCTTATGAGAGATGATAACCGTCAATTCGTACTGCTGCACGAAATCGTCAACCTTTAGAATGCAACCCTCAACGACTTCCAATTCGCACAACTTCTTATCATTGTTGCAATCTGTTTCGCCCTCTTCCGACGAAATCAGCACTAAACCCTTTCCTTCGGTTATAACATCCGGTTCGATCATGTTCAAACCTTTTACCAAAACTTCATCTCGGAATTGTTTCACCGTAATGCGATTTGTGTCGATTTTCACAACAACCTGTGGCTTGTCGGAGCACACAATGCATTTTGGATTTGGTGCCATCAATTCTAAAAAAATAATACATTGTTTTGTTAGTATTTTGTTGATAACCTTTATATATTCAGTACTTACGGCGATCGGGTACGAAAATTTGATTGCGTGGGTTCAAACGTAGACGAACATAAACCGATTGACACTGTTCATATTGTTCCAATAAAACGTTGAATGCACGCATCACAACAAGACCGGCTGTAATTGCATTTGTTGTGGCAATCGCAGGAATAATATTACCAGCCATTGCTAATGAAACACGAAAAATAAGCAAAATATTACAATTAAGTTGAACTAAACGAAGACTATATATTGAATCTTACATTTGATTTCAAACCGGCTCTTTTGCGGAATGTTGAAAATCTTGGCGCGAACATTGGCACAAGCTGCCACAAAATCCATGGCTGGCTTATCATCTTTGTCCCAAACCAAATGATCATCGACCGCCAATTTTGTGAATTCCTTTTGCAAATCCGACAAACTGGTTGCGAACACACTTTGACATTCACGAATCGACCAAACTTTCTGGTCACGATTGCTTCCCGTTAGATTCGATTCATCGGATGACTTTTCGTCATCACCAAATGCACCATATCGCATTGGAACTGGTGGGGTGCGTTCCTTCCACAAATCGGACATGCTCAACAAGTATTTGATGTCATCATAGAATAGCTTGTTGAAAATCTTTTCCGCATCATAGTTTGTGTCTTGAGCCCATTGACGGGTGCTTACACGCTCCACGTTACCCTATGTTTTCAATGTTTCAATGACAATGAAGGACATTAGCATTTTTTTTATTTACTGATTTTGACTCATTTCGCATTCTTGAATATACTTACATCACTTTTTGATTCTTTTTCCAGTGCAGTGGCACCTGCATTTTCACCAGCGGCTTCTGGATCCTCCCGGTCCGGTGCAACGTCTTCATCTTCATTGTGTTCACCAAACAGTTGACTAAATGTCGCAAATAATTAACATTAAAGCAGAAGAAAATAAATAATTCCAATTCGGAAAGTTTTCGTTGACTTACTTGTACAAATGTTTTGCCCAAACGATGCAGTGAATGGGCTCGGATGGTGTATTCCGAATGGTGCAGCCTGGGAATGATTTTTGTGCTGGTTTTGGTGTACATTCATAGCATTGTGTCGATCCTTTTTTAATCAATTCCACTTGACCGTCATAGCCAGCGGTGCCACTTTCAATGAGCGGAACATTTGCCGTCAAACACATTCGATTGACGTGATTGCGTGCTTTACGATTGTCCAATGCGTTCAACACCAAATTGAACTTTTGGAAGAAACTGACGCCATAGTTGGTACTAAGCGAAGTAAAATTTTTTTTAAAAAAAGTCGTTTAAGTATTTTTTTTTACATCAAATAAAATGAACCAGCCAAAATTCATGGAAACTACGTCGTTCCAAGTATTGTTGCTAATATTACGGTAAATGTTCAACAAGAACATAAAATTGTGGTTTATGATATACTTACGTGATAATGTCGTCATGGTATGCTTTGATTTTGACATCTGGATTGAATGCCAAAGCACTTTCTCGTGCCACTTCAGCTTTTGATTTACCAACATGCTCTTTGTGGAACAAAAATTGACGGTTCAAATTGCTCACATCAATTGTATCCAAATCGATCTGCAATTAAAAATTGATTGGTAGTAGAAAAAAAAATGTACACCATCATATTGGTATTTAGAGGTACTTACGATTTCAATGTCGGAAAATCCAGACATTACCAAATTTTTCAGCACTTCACAACCAATGCCACCAGCACCGACAACCAAAATTTTGCTGTCGCCAATTTTTTGTTGAAGAGATGACTCCAACACACCAGTTATTTGTGCTGCCATTACAGTTGCCTAGGGTTAATCACAAAGAAAAGAATGGAAATAATGGGAATTAATCAATATGTAATGGAACGTAATGGAAGTAATGGAAACATATAATGAAAATCAAATATGTATAGTTTAAGATAAAAGTAATCGTCACACATTTGCAACAACATTGCTTTAATTTGTGATTTGGTAGTAGTGTTAAGAATCGCGTTCTGTTGTGGAAGAACAGAACTACTACTACTACCAAATCTCAATTTTTGTGAGCAAAGTGTTTGCTAACGCAGCTTCGTTCAATTCATTTGCAAATTGTTTTTAATTTATGTGTGTATATGTGTGATCAAACCCTTACTACTTTCTTACATACTAAATAGATATTGATATTGTGATTTTTTGAAATGGATGTAATGGGTGTAATGGAAAAATAATCGAAAGAATGGATAGCATTCTTCAATAATGGAATAGTAATTTTTAAAGTAAGTATACCCTGACAGTTGCGCTTAAATTTCACAATATCAATGAATTACCAAATTATGTTGAACCCAATGGCTTTTGATTGACTTTTTATTGTTTTATAGTCGATATGTGTATAAATTGTTTAATAAAATCACAACGAATGTGTTGCAAACAATTTTGAGCGTAAAAAAATTGACTTTTGTGGAATTATGAAGCCAAAACAAGAACAAGCACACTCAGCAATATGTTGATACCCGGCGTTTCATGAAATGTCATTGTGTTATAGCATTTTGGGGTGCGTCTCATAAATTGAATTAAGTGCGTGGTACAAAGTATACCATTTCACAGATTTTCGAAACAAAAAGATTTTTTGTTGTGAAAAATTAGAATTTTTTAAAGAAATTTTATTTTATATTGTATTGAATGCATTTTATTTTTATTTTAAACAGAATGGAAAATAGCATACGAAAAGCGTCAAAATGTAATTCAAATCAAACGTAAAGTATCGTTAAGTACCCGTCTCTTGTGTATCAGTGTAAACAAATAAATTCAATTTATTAAGAAAATTGATAGGAATATGCGTTCAATAAATATTTCAGTCAATTTGACTATCGAAATCAATTATTGTTTAAAAAAAAATGAAGGTTTTTCAAACATAAGAACAAAGGGAACATCGAAATTGCTCAGAGATCCTGTCATAGTGCAGATATTTATGTATTATATATCCATGCAAAAAATTTCGATCATATGCTTTATGCTGAGGACTTTTGTTGTATGCTATCTCAAAATCCTTAAATATGGGATCATTTCTTTTATTATATCTTCTAAGGATCTGTAAAAGACACTATTTGAAAAGTTCAATGAAAATGCAATACTTTGAATGTTTTCAAAATATTGGGTGTATAAATTAATTTTGAGGGATTTCTACCAGATGGTGTAACTTGTACTGTAACGCATCGGACCATACTGTAACTTTATTCACGTGAAAGCCACATCATTTGACATTAGTTTTCTGAATGTGTTATTTTGTCAAAGTGTAAACAACATAATTTTTTCGCTTACAATCATGTCAGCATATGTGCCAAAAAAACAGCATTTGCGGGAAGTTTTACTTTTCTTCTTTAATTCGAAGAAAAGTGCCGCTGAGAGCCATCGATTATGGTCGGAAACTTATGGTTCTGACCATAAAATATCGATTAAAACATGCGAGTACTGGTTTCGACGCTTCAAAAGTGGTGATTTCAACGTGGAAGACCAAGAACGGTCAGGTCAGCCAAAAAAGTTCGAAGATGCAGAATTGCAAGCATTATTGGATGAAAACTCGGCCCGAACCCAAAAAGAACTCGCAATGGAGTTAAATGTAACTCAAGCAACCATTTCCGGACGTTTACATACCATGGGAATGATTCGAAAGCTAGGAAAATGGGTACCACATCAACTGACTGAAAACCAACTCAAAGCACGAATCACAGCATGCAGAGAACATCTCAAAGAACACAAAAAACATAGTTTTTTGAGTCGAATTGTCACGGGCGATGAAAAGTCGGTCTATTACGACAACCCCAAACGTAAAGGAGCGTATGTTGATCCAGGCCAACCAGGACCATTTTCGGGAAGAAAAGCACGGAAGATGGCGAAACATTAGAAGTTGCATCAAAAGATCCTGAACCGGATACGGTTGATACAAATTTTGGAATAACAACGATTTAAACAAAAACTACTATTCACACCCAATAATTTGATTAATACGATCTACAACATCTACGTTATATGAACTTGCAACATTACGTACAAATATTTATATTGCGTAAAAGAGATTATCATTTTCTTTTTGATCAATCAATATATCATATAATAAATCATAAATAAAACGCTTTATTGATAATTTCCCCCATCTAGAAAAAAATGCACAACTTATTATTTTATTCTCTTTCCATATATTGTTGTTCTTCGTTCCTATCGAGTTCTCTTTCCGTTCAAATCCATAAAACGAATGCCGTTGTGCATTTGGCAGTGAGAACATAGCAAATAGTTGACAGTCATAAACTCTTTATTCTTGAAGACAGTTTGTTTGCATAGTGCAATCGATCGTCAAGTTATTGTAAAAAGTTCTATTATAAAATGAATGAAGTGAAGACAGGTAAAAATATTATTATACGTTTTTTTTTAAATAAAAACAACAAACATAAGAGAGAATATTTCGAATTTCAGTTCATCAATGTGTATTTTGTCCAAAAATATTGGCAAGTGCTGCTGCAAAAGATGAGCATATTTTAGGGCATATTGTTCAAGAAACCTGTAAAGAATGTGACCAGAATATGATTCGATTTGGTGGAAATGTGTACATTTTGCATAATGCTATAACATGTGTCAAGAAAGGTTCGAATTCAGTGGGAAACTCCGAATCGATTCCAGACGTTAATCAACGTATCGGGTTTGAAAATATCCAAAATTTCGATGAAAATAGCTCAACATCAGGTTCATCGATGTCACCAACATGTTGCGTTGAAGAAGTGTACATTAAAATCGAACCGATTGAGGAAAATGAGCAACCAAATGTAATTGATGAATCAATTGCAGTTGCACCGGTGCAAAGCGTTCAAAACTCCCCTCATAACTCAAGCGAATCGTCCACCAAATTACACACTGAAAACAAAGTAATTTGCCTTGAAAAACCGAAACAAGTGAAGCGAAACAAAAAGAACGAATCGTCCGAGTGCGATGTGTGTGGTAAAATTCTCAGTAATCAAAGTACATTGCGTCGACATAAAATAATTGTTCACAGTTCACGTGGGTCAATATTTTGCAAAGTTTGTGCCCGTGTATTTTCTAGCGCCTATCAATTGACAAAACATAAAATCGAATGTATTTTAAAACGGCGAAATGACGGTCCAGCCTTAGAAGATATTTCGTTCGAATGTTACATTTGTAAAGCGAAATTTAAGACAAAACGACGAACTATCGAGCATATTCGATGGAAACATGATCCACAGGTGAAAACATTCAAATGTGAAGTGTGTGGCAAGAAATTTTTTGAAAGATGGATGCTGAAAAGCCATCTGGAATGCATTCATTTAAATATTAAAAATTTTGTGTGCAGCTCATGTGGCACAGCGTTTAGAACAAAACATCAACTCAAGGTGCATGAGAACCAACACACGGGCAACATGCCATTTGTGTGCACGTACGAAAACTGTGGCAAACAATTTAAGAGTCGGTCAGCCAGAGAATCACACGTTCGAATACACACCGGCAAAAGACCATATCGCTGCAAAATCCATGAGTGCAACGCACGATTTATTGATAGCATTGTTTTGAAGCGGCATAAACAAGCGGTGCATGGCATTTTTGTCAACAAATTCGTATGCAATGCATGCGATGGAATTTTTCCAACAAAAACCTCATTGAGATCACATACCTGCAATCCGTTTATAATTGAATGGTGATGATTGACCGGACTGAAGTGCTTATTTACGGTTTACAACAGTTTTAAACTAAAGACATAGCTAGATTCTTAGAACATACATGTAAACAGATGATTCAACAACAGAGCCACTGGAATTTCACTCACAAAGTTATAAAAAACTATATTGAAGAGCTGAGACTAATTCTGTTTATTCGTTCATATAAATGTTTGATATTATAAATTGAGTCTATTTATTTGTTGAAAGAGTTTATGAACTAATTTTGAAAAGAATATTAAGTAATTCCTAAGGGATAAACAGAGATTTTCAATTAATAACTAATAAATGATGAAGACATCATTTTCGGTTCGTTGTGCGTAGTTTAATAGCACCGAATTCAGATTGGACATTTATCAGTAATTGGTTTGAAATTATTTTTCTTCGTTAGTTTATAAAGTGAATATTTGACAGCAAGGAAATACCACTGAATCACTGCAAATAAAAAAAAAGAAAATTGTATTAGAAAACGATATCAATAACGTTTATTGACCTATACAAACCAAAAATGAGTAAGGCGATCATCCAAATGGTGGCTATAGTCAAATCCATAATTTCGTATAATTTATCCTGATCGATATTATCTCCATAGGGAGAACTTAGAAAATCTGCTCTTCTAATAAGCGCAGCGTGTATGTCTTTAAGAAATATTACCCCAAGTGATGCGAAAATAAGTACAACAACGAAGAAGATGCAATTGGTTGCAGACCAAATAATATTAAACAGCATTGCTTTGGTGTTTTGCTGTAGAAAAGAATAAAGCACATTGACGCTGTATTATATTTTTATCCAAATATTCTAGACCATCAATCTATCTAAAGTGTGAGTTGATTTCGTTGGTATGGAAATAAGATATTCACTCAAATATGCAATATCTCAATACATTGACTTGAAAAAAATTCTTGCATTGCATGCTGCATATCTGAGTTGATAAAATAAACTAAATTTTAATTCTAGGTCAATATTCGTCAATGCCAATAAATTTCGTAGTTCGATTGAATGAATTATTTACCTGCTGAATTCCATACAACCAGGAGATCGTGGTCAGGAGTGATAAAACTGTTGAAGACAGACATTTAGTGGCGAAAAAAGTTGAGGAAATTAATTTTATAAAGGTCTTACCATCAATTGCATAGTCAATTGAAATTGGATCGCGAATGTCTTTTAACAACCATACCAGAGTTGTAAATAATTCAAAAATTCCAAGAAATATTCCACCCGTTTTCAAATCAAAACCACAGAGAGAACTAACCGTCAACAAACTCATTTTCACCTTGAAGTAAAAAATATATATAGAAAAACACTTATTTACTTGAATCATTTTAAATTACAGATTGACTAGCATAGCTCAATATTCATATTCAATAAATGAAAAACACAATGTATTTCAAAAATAATAAAATATTTTGAAAACTAGATATTTTCTTGAAATAGTTGTAAAATTTCGATTCAAAGATCATTAACAAAAGGATGGAATTTGAAATTCGTACGATGGGAGATTTTTTTAAAAATAAAAACAGTGTATTTTAAAAAATATTTCATAATCACAAACAAAAAACTCACTGTAATAGAATGAAATCAACGCAAGACTTATTCGATCGAAAATAAAATTGAAATGCGCCGCTGCTATGAAAACTTCGTGCAAATTGCTTTCAGTGCACAAGAAAATATCGTTTGTTGTAATATGAGCACTATTTTTTTCGGAATATGGTAATCAAAAGTTGCAATGTTGCAAAAATATGAAGTTGTGTTGAAGTGAAATTTTAGACGTGTGCAAAGTTAATTTGTTCATAAATATAAAGAATAAGGTGAATACAATGAAAAAATCCGTTTAAACAGCGCATTTTGGTTTTTTTTTGTAGCGACAAAAGCACTTTTTGAGCATATTAGATGGAAATACGATCCACAGGTGAAAACATTCAAATAGCTCAACTTCATTGAGATCACATAGCCGCGATCCGTTTATGAGTGAATGGTAATGATTGAACGGATTGAAGCGCTTAGCTTTACTTTTGTACTAATTTTTATGTCATTTTTTATTCATTCAAATTCACTAGAGAAAGCAATAAATGTAACCTCCACATACTCACTATATTTTACTTATCATCGAGGCACCTATTTTTGTTATTCCTTTTACATTCTTTCGAAATAAATAATAGAAGATTTTTTGAAAACTTCCGTATTTATTCAATTTGTGTATTTATAGCTGGCATTCAATTGAAATAGCAAAGTTGAAGGATGTGATCGGTAGTTTGAATTCGAACATCTTTCGAACTTCGAAAAGACCAAGCGTGATAGTTCAAAATCACGTTCATAATTATCTATCTGTGTATTAATAACTACAAAATTCATCGTTGGAATTATTTCGAAGTAATATTTATTGAACAATTATCAAGTGTTTCAAAGTTACTACTTCACAAGAAAACGAAAAAAGTCAAGAAAAAGAATAATAATTGCAATAGTTTATCAATTTATGAACTTTGTTTCTTTCTGTAATCAAAGTCGGCATTATTTGAAAAAGTATAGTTTGCTTAAATTGTTATGTATAATTGAATTCATCAGAGATAAAGAAAATAAACGTCTCTTACACGGAACATTGATAAAGTTTTCTGATTTTTGCGTTTTTCTCATAGAATTTTATCAAATTTCTTCATTAAGTTTGTTTCCACATTCTTTATTGGAATTTACACGCGAACTCTAACGCCCGGAAATCCTTTGGTACCCAAACCGGTAATTTTGAATAGATATCCAGCCAACTCGTTATCCGAGTCGCCCGAACTTGCTGTTGTTACGTATAGAATATCTAAATTTGGACCACCAAACGTTATCGATGACACTTGCTTAGCCGGAATTGGTATTTCCATTAAGATTTTTCCCGTTCTATGTGAGAATAAACAAAAAGTGGTCCATTTATCCAAGGTTAACAAGTTTTTAAATTTTAACTATGCAAAGATAAGATAGAATCGTTCTTACTTCGGTTCAACTTTGACCACATTCGATCCGCCAAAATTGGTAATATATAAATTTCCCTCCGTATCAATTGTGAGTCCATCGGGAAGGAAGCCGGCATTTTTCCCATTATCGCTAAAGTCGATTACAACACGTTCGTTGGCTGAAAAAAGCGGATTGAAAAATAGTATAAAACCTCTTCTTTGTTGAAACCGAATATAAAGAACTCACAGATGTCACCGGTTTTACGATCCCAATCGTATTCTTTGACATCAAATTTTCCGGTGTCGATGTAATACATTTTATTTGTTGTTTCATCCCAAGCCAAACCATTCGACACAAAGACACCGTCCGTTAATTCATAAACACCGTCGCCTTTGATATATTTATACAACGAACCTGCTGCAACTTGGAAAATGTCACCACATTTTTCCGAACGCATTGTTCCACCATAGAAACTGAAGAGACATTTATGATTAGAATATAAGAACTGCTGAATAATTATTGCTATGCTGTCGAACTTACCGACCCAGGGGGCAAGCTTTGGCGGCATTGAAGCGATTATTCTGCTTATCACCTTCAACTTCAAAAGCGATTGGACCGAGAAGTGCTCGGTTTGATACCCCATCCCAATGCACAATGCCAACTCGGCGACCAAGTCCAAGTGCATATTCATCTTTGGCACTGGTTTTTGTTGCATTCGCAACTGGAATTATGAAACCAACCACCTTCTCACCATCAACTGTTGCCGAATAAACTTTATTTTCCTTGTAATCATAACGGAAAATTGTACCCTCAACATCGTTATAGTACAACGATTGGGTAAGCTCATCCCAATGCGCTCTTGTACCGACAATTGTTCGTGTTGATGGAACTTTTTCCACTTTGAACGACATCTAATTAAGACGAACAAATATAAAACGGAATATGTCACAGTCAAGATCATGACAATGTTATATAATCTAGAGCATCGTTATCTATATGACTCTGATTGCATGCAATAAACAGATTCGTTAAGCTAAAGTTTATCGGAGAATTTTTCAAAGTTTAATTGATTATAGCACGCAAAATGTTATTCAATGAATGAAGAGACCTTTATGAGTCTGTGGAATTTTCTGATATATTTTTTTTTCATTTAACAATTTAAAATCAATCTCTTTGTTCTCCAACTGCACATATGCGATGATTTGAAACACAAAAAAACTTTACATTCGACGAAAACTCTATTTGCAATTTTCAACTCACCTTATTTGTTGTAAATAGCGTTGAATGTAAAGCAAAAAAATCAAAATTAAAATATTTTTGAGCTATTAATAATCTCACTGTGATTTGTTACACACTCACAGTCGAACTGATCTCATAAGTTGAACATAAATTGTGCTAATAGTCAAAATCACTGATTAATGAAATTTGTTTATATGTTATTTATCAGCAGCAAACGAGTGTGTGCCGTGTACGCAAACTTTATGGTCAACTGACAAATGAAGGCAGACTATTTGCAGTTATAAAATATATGAATATCAAGTCGTTCTCATATAATTGAGAGAGAATGAGAGAAAAAAGCATTGAAGGGAGATGATAATCATACAAACGAACGAATGAACGATCCTTTATATAAAATATTAGCTTTGTATCTTATATTGTGTTTTTGTTATTGTTTTGTTTCATGACTCTTTGTATTCGGTTCATTAAACGATCGGTTTCGACATTGCGCGATATAAATACAAGCACGAGCATTATCTGTGAATAACGAGAGGCGCGGATACACGTCACTCCTCTTTGTTATTGCATTTTGAGTCAAGGAAAATAAACAAAACATCACAAATATACTATCTCATTGAAATCCATACGGGAACAGTTAATGGTATACAAGTGAACAAAAACGTTACCCTCCCCAATAATATTCCAATAATAAAAAAAGAAAAATAATCTACTTAAATGCATACTTTACCACACTGGAATACACATATTCTTGACATTTGAAATATAAATTGTTTTTCGGTATAAATTTATAATTTAAAAGAGGCAATCGATTAAATACTTTATTTCTTTATGAATAATAGCAGCTAAATTAATTGAATACGAAAATAAAAATCATTGATACAATATTTTATCATGGCTGTTGTGCATCCATATATCTCATATAAAAACAAATGTCGGTGTACACGTCCATTTAACGTTAAAG